ATTTCAAATTTTGACACAAAAAAAACGATGATAGGATTGTTTTAAACTCATGATTGAAATGCATTTGAAATATTCAAAATATTTGCTAGTTACGAGCATATTTAAAATTTAATTCGTTTAAATTGAAATTTTATTTTTTTTAATTTTTAAATTTTTATAAATTTTACAAATTTATATTTTACAATTTAAAAAAAAACTATTTAATTTCTTTATTTTTTCTTTTGCTACAAATAATTTCTTAATGTAATTGATTAAAATGCTATTGCATTTTCACAATCAATAATTGAAGATTCAGTGGAGTAGAAGGAATAAAATAATTTGTAGTATTAGTATCATTAATAGTTGTAGTAGTGGTAGTAGTGGTAGGATAGTAAGGTCATTTAAGCGGATTAAATCAAATGACAACAAATATTTGACTATTAGACTGTGTTTTGAAATAAGAAATTAATTGGTTGGGAATGAAATACTCAATTTATTTTGCAATATTTTGTCACAAATTTTGTCAATAATGAAATTTACAAATAGAATGTGAAAAAACAAAAAAAAAGAAAAGAAAAAAAGAAAAACAATTATTCAATGAGATTTATCGGAAATTAAAAACATAAAAAAAAATTTGAAATTAATTTTAAAAATTGGGCAAATATTTGGAAAAGTTTGAACAGATGATTAAATTTTATGTAATTTCTGCTTCATTGACAAAAAACGCTATGCATCATTTAGTTCAATTATTTCTGAAATGATTTTTAAATCAAATTGAAATTCTTAAATTTCAAACTTTCAAATACTGAAAATTTTCACCAATTTTTGATTCGTGCAATGTTATTTGTATAGCTAAATTTTAAATTGTATTAATTAATTTTGAAAATTCGAATTCATTCATAAATTTTACAAATCCAAATAAAATAGAACAAATGATTGAAATTTTAATATCATCCATTTCCAAAATTATTCGTATAATATACGTGAATATCTTTCATTTCATTAGCTTTCATTTATTTTATTTGCAAAATTAGCGTAAATATCGCTAATTACTACATCGTATTTTTAATTTTTGCAAATAACTTAAAGTGCTAAATTTATATATGTTAAAAATAATGAATTATTTCATTAAAAAATCGCCAATATTTTCAGAATTAAATAATAAACTCTAAAAATTTGATTTATTAAATTAATATTTTTGCTTTCATACTTGTATGAATAACAATTATTCATAGCTTAATTGTTATTTTTTTCGTGCAAAATATATTTTGTGGAAAATTTTAAAATTCAATAATTAATTGTATTATCATATAATCAAACAAAGAAAATTTTACCAAAAAAGAAAAAAGTTTTAGTTTTTATTTTGATTATCGTTTTTTTTTTTTTTTGTAATAAATTAATGATATAAATTCCTAACTGATATGTCTTTTCATTCCTTTTTTTTTTTTTTTTTGTTCATTCTTTCTTACAGATGTTCAACATATTTATTTGTTACAAGCAATTTTAGCAAAAAATGAATTAATTAATCTTGCCTAATTTTAAACAATTGCAGTAAAAAAATAAAGCAAAGAGAGAGAGAGAGAGAGAGAGAAAGAGAAACAAGGAAAGAAAAAAAAAAAGTATTACTTTTTTTACGGAACAAATATTCCTGTCAACCTTGTCTCAATGTTCTTTTACGCATTGGTATTTGAATTTGAATTGAATTAAAATTCAAATTCACCAGTATCATCTGTATTTGAATTTAAATTTGAATCTGTCGACATCATTTCTATTTGAAATGAATTTGAATTCGCATATTATTTTCAGTTCAAATTGAATTTCAATCCATGCATTCAAATATCACAAATATCTATGGTTATTTTAATTAAAAGATAAAACAAAATAAATGAGAATTTACGAAAAAGTTTTTTTTCACATCTTTCCTTTTCTTATTCAAAAATATTATTTTCATATAGGAAAAGCGAATTAAAAAAATTGGCAATTGAAAGAAATGGTATTAAATATATTAGAAATGAATAAGCAATTAATACCATTCGATTTCAAATCTTTTTTTTCTCAGTTCCATTTTCTTATCTCTCATCTTCGATCATTTATTTGTGTTTCATATCATTCGGCTAATATTTAATATAAATGCTGTTTTTTTTTTGGATTGAAATTTAAACGCAAAAATGAAATACCAACGATAGATTTATTGTTTAAACAATAACTAACATTTCATATTTTAATTAAATGATCTTTTTTAAAATTTTTTTTGATAAGTAAAATAATTTTTAATAAAAAAAAGGAAGAAATGCTTTTGATATAATTTCCTCAAGCAACTATTGATTTTCATTTTTAATTTTTCCACATTTCGTCTCAGTTAAAATTAATGACATCAATTGTCACAAAATTACAAGTGGGATTAGTATGGGATGAATTAGCTTTAACGGTTGAATGATTTGGCATGCATTAGTCAAATATGTTTCACTTTAGCTCAAATACAAGAAAAGCAAAATTTTCCCTGAAATTTTAAAAATTCACTCATCAAATAAATATAAAAATAAATAAAAAAATACTCAGTGTATTTTTGAAATTAAAATTTTAAAATTATATTTTTAAATTTATTTCTCATTTTCGTTAAATTTAAAAAGGAATGAAGTTTTTTTTTGATAAAATGAAGACGGATTTGTTAAATTTATGTATATATATATATATATATATTGCTCTTTTTTATATTTTCTTTTCAAAAAGTAATTTTTATTTAAAAATTTGTTTTAAATTTATAAAAAATTTAAATTTTTTTTATTTAAATTTTCAGGACGTGGTTTAATCAGTGAACGTTGTTCACATCTTTCGGTAGCATGTCGAGTACGAGTGGAAAATGATGCTATTGTATGGTACACTTCAAAATTATATGATCGTAATCAGTTAGCATGCGTGATGCGAAATGAATATGGCACGCTTGGTAAATTTTACATGTAACGTTTAAATACGTAGTATGAAATGTGAACTTACGTAAAGTAAATTTTACGTAAATTTTACGTAAGCTTACGTAAATTTCTGAACATAATATGATGTAAATCGATTTACGTAAATATTCCCTAGAATTTCACGTATCTTTTTTTTTCGTTCAGAATTTAATTTGTAAATATGTCTTGTTACTTAATCAATTTTATGGGCAAGTTTATTGCAATTTAAAATTTCAAAAAATTTAAATTTAAAGTAATTTAAAAAGAAAAACGAAAAAAACGCTATAAGGGAAAATAAAGGAAATAATGGCATATAAGAAATAAATATTAAATATTACAAAGAAAAAAGAAAATTTTTCTTTTTGTAACATTATTAATATGCTGATATTTTTAGAATTCAACACATTTTAGCATTAAATATTAATTAACATTTAAAGATTATTTATTTATTTCAATTATAGAATCACACAATAGTACCATTTGTTGTAATATTGAGAATTTTTATAACAGAGAAATATAACAAATGGAATTTTATTTATTATTTATCTTCAATAATAACAATATTCCCAAGGTGTAATAATAATAAGTATTGCTATTATACGAAATTGTATTATCGGTGGTAATGATAATAACAATAATAATAAAAATAATTAATAATATCGAAAGGATGAATAATAATAATAATAATAATAATAATAATAATAATAATAATAATAATAATAATAATAATAATAATAATAATAATAATAATAATAATAATAATAATAATAATAATAATAAT